GTGCTGATGTAACTGCAAGTTACGAGTCATCCTGCGTGGAAGAGAAAAGCTTATCACTACCCCCACATTTAAGAAACACAAATTTAACATGTCAAAGGTGATTGCTTAGTTAAATAGTTTAAGCACTGAAAACCAAACGAGCACTTGCACTCTGTTCTCAAGAGGTTTAATATCACAGTTCTAAAAGATGTTTATCATAAGAATAGTCCAATGGTTATGTTGCTTCATCGCATTATTAAATAACAAACATAATTAAAATAATATAAGAAGAAAGCAACTGAGACATGCTGCATTTCAGCAAACCACATAGAGATAAATATTACTCCTTTCTTTTTTAAATAAATGTCGTTTTGACTTTTTTGATTCATCCATTTTGCTATGTATCTAGACATTAATATGTCTAGATACATAGCAAAATGGATGAACCAAAAAAGTCAAAACGACATTTATTTAAAAAAGGAGGTAGTAATATAATAATGCTATAAGGAACTATCTTACCAACAATCACAAGAATATAAAACATTATACTTAAACTACCAATGTTCATTATTAAATCTATCTTGCCAAGCAAATTAAAGCAAAAATCCAGGGTCTTACAGCAAATCTCAAAAGAAGACATAACTTGCCAACTCCAGAGTCTCCAATTAGAAGCAGTTTGAACAAGTAGTCACTGCAAAACACAACAACAAATCTGAAATGAGATTCTAAAACAAACAACATCAGAAAAGAGAAAACTTTGGTTCACTGGGCAATTAACAGAGCATTAATCTCAAGACATAATCTCTGAATAAACCAAATTCGGTAGCCCTATCACCAAAAATAGAAAAATAAACCCACGACTTCAACCTCACACCAAAAAGAACACACAAAACAAATACATCCATAATCGAGTATGATATAAATATTAGTAAGTGTTACAGTAAATGAAATCTGCAGTCACTCGACATATAACACAAGAACCAGATAAGCGCAAAGTATCATGGATCTGATAGCATCGCAGCAGAAGCAAATCCAAGCGAAATTCATACCGCAATCAACAGCCATGGATCTATCAAATAGGATCGCACAAGAACAAATCCCGATTCCCAAAAAAAAAACATATATCATAATCTCGATTACTTAGAATCCACAAAAATAGAGATGATAGATTTACTATTCGGGTCCTATAATTGGATGCGGTGCTCCGAGCGACGTCATCAAGGCGGAGGTTTCAATTTGGATTACCTCGTGAAATTTGCTCCTCAATTAGTGAATCCAAACCAATTGCAGCCTTCGGATTAAAAACGAGTCAAGATTGTTCGGCCTTAGCGGATAGCGATCTGAATTGTAGGTTTTGTGTTTTTTTTTGTTTTAGGAAGGAATGAGGAAGATGAAAGGAATTGTTTGCCGCCGAACGAGATTTCTTTTTTTTTTTGTTCTTAATGGCACACTAGGAATTTTAATTTATTAGTAAGGTTAATAAGGTATGTAAAATAATATTTTACTAGTACAATACACGTGTATTATACGGGTGAATTAGAAAGCTTTTGTAAAAAATATTTATTTTTTTTAATTTTTTTTAAAACTGAAATAATTTAATTTTATATAAAATACTACTTTGGGTAATTAAATTGTTAAATTATATTTTTTAATCATAATAATTAAGCACCTGTACATTAAATGAAAATGTCAACTCGTGTTGAATTTTAATATCGATGTTATTTACTATTACATAAGTACAAAAAAAATATCTTAAATAAATAGAAATAATATGGTGATATGTATATGCATAAGTGTAGAATATGTTTATTAAATATTAAGCAAAATAGATTAATTTTTGTATTTAATTAAATGCCTAATACATCAAATGTCGTATATATATTTTAGAATGACACTTGTTACTTGTGCGACTTACCTATGTTATATTATTAATATTAATAAATAATTTTATTATTATTATAAAGATAAATATATTTTATTTATTTTATATATACAATATGGATGTCAAATCGAATCTCATCAAAAGATGATTAATATGATATGTTATTTGTGTAAAACCGATAAGAAATACAAACGTTATCAACTTTTAAAATACATTTACAATTCAAAGGTTATAATAGGAAATCAATCATGGATTTAATGTGAAAAAAAAAACATTAATTTATTTCCAAGCCTAACTCCAAAACATGATTTTTTGCCAAATAAGATTTTGAAGTATTAGAGTTTGCCACGTAGGCTCAGCGCACTCTGAAATTATATATAGAGGGGATATAATAAAATTTTTATATATAACTTTGTTAATTACATACTTTGTTA